CAGTGGAATTAGAATATTCAGTTAGCAAAATAAAACATCCATAATATATTTGTGTTTGCACATGAAAAAGTATAAACGAAAGTAAATAAAGAACCGAGATCTACATGAAAGTTTTCACATCTTTGCATGGGAAGAAATCTTATTTCACAGAATTAGCTTCAAAGTAGCTATATTTCGATCATTCACGATAACAAAAATGTTACAATGTTCCCATATTAGAACGATTAAATAATTATTTGTTAGACTTTAAATCGTTGTAGATCTGTACGTGTCCGAATGAGATTGATGAAACAAACGTAGAAAGTAATCAATGAGAGCATAATAGTTAACTAGTGGACTTTGGTTGCACAGTCAGAAAACATGTTGACGTTAGTTTTTAAAGTGTGTTCCCAACTTTATTCCGTACCACATTATTGTTATTATATCCTTCTTATGTCATAAACCACCGCCTGAAATTTTGTCCTAATTCTTCACCAATATTGCGTACAAGCTGTGTCGCATCACATACAAATATGATTCCCTTTTTATTTAATTATCTAATATAATCCATGGAATTATAACAAACTTTTCTCACCGTTAATAGCAATTGGCAATGGTATAGGATTCTCTGATGTATTAAAAGAAATCATAAAGGAAAACTAAAATAATCAACTTTATTTGCAAATATGAGCAGGTGAAACAAAGCTGCAAAGAGATTGGTCAAAATGTAACGACGCGAGTGAAGCTGTACATGAAAGCTTTTTGTGCTGAGGATGCACCATCAGCAATGGCTTCTGTCTCACAGGCTCGAGAGTTGTCTCGTATTTCCTCCAAGCTTTATCAAACCATCAAACGCTACCAAGTAATTAGCTAATTCTCATATTATATTTTCGTTGTTTTTCATATATAATTTTGATAAATAACATCTAATATTGGAATGTTTATACATATGTAGCCAAGCATGAAATGGGAGAGGCTTCCATTTAAGATATGGAGATGGCAAAACGTGAACGATAACAAAGGAGAGAAACTACAAAGCATGGAGATTGCTCTTAGAGGAATGGAGATGGTATTATCAAGCAAGTCACCTATTCCTGCTAGCTTACTTGAGGGAGAAGTAAAAGACGGTCTCAAGAACATACAAGAACGTGTGATTCTCTCTATCAAACGAGTAAACAACATCCCTCAACCGTCAGTAACTCCAGAAACCGATCTACAAAAACCCGATGAGTGTCTCCAAACACTTCAGGAGATCCCGGAAACATCACAGGATCTACCCTTTTACTTCTTCTTGTTCTGCCTCAGGCTCCTCGAAACCATCTCAACGGCTAAACCGGAAGAGACCAGAGTAAAACCGGAGGAGAACAAGGGCTCGGTTAAAACCAAGAGTAGGACGTCTTGGTTTAGTGAATGGGACAGCAAGAAGGTTATGCCGGCTATGAAGTTATCGCTTTCGCTAGGTTTAGCGATTTTTCTAGGGTCGTTGTATAGTAAACCAAACGGGTATTGGGCTGGTTTACCGGTAGCGATCAGCTTCGCGGCAGCAAGAGAGGCGACTTTTAAAGTGGCGAATGTGAAGGCGCAAGGGACAGTGATAGGGACAGTGTATGGAGTGATGGGTTGTTTTGTCTTTCAGAGGTTCTTGACGGTTAGGTTTCTCTCTTTGCTTCCATGGTTTATCTTCTCTAGCTTCTTGAGCAAGAGTAGGATGTACGGACAGGCCGGAGGGATCTCGGCAGCGATTGGAGCTGTTTTGATTCTTGGAAGGAAGAATTTCGGACAGCCAAGCGACTTTGCGATAGATAGAATCATCGAGACTTTTATAGGGTTGTCTTGTTCGATCATGGTGGAGCTTATCTTGCAGCCCACGCGAGCTGCGAATGTCGCGAAACTTGAGCTCTCTAGAAGCTTCCACGCTTTGTACGGGTGTGCAAGCTTGTTTGGAGCTAAAGCAGGTAAAGCAGAGATAATGGAGAGTCATGAGAAGCTGAGAGGGCATCTTAACTTGCTCAAGAAGTTTACTGAAGAAGCACAAGCAGAGCCGAGTTTCTGGTTTACGCCTTTTAACGCTTCTTGCTACGAGAAGCTGTTCAAGTCATTGTCTAAATTGGCTGATTTATTGCAGTTCAGCGGTTACGCGATAGGGTTTCTTGCGGAACAAGGAAAAGGAAAATCACCACAGTGCAAGGAGGTTCTTAGCGAGATAGACAAAGATCTCAAGAGTCTAACGCAAAGTATAAGTCTTCTCGCCAAATCTTTCGAGGAAATCACTCTTCTCAAATCACTAGACGCCCTGGAAAAGGCGCTCACCAAGAACGGTAACAGTTCTTGGGACATTGAGTTGGGGAAGACACCAAACCCTAGTTTCTCAAACCTCGAGAGCGAGCCAGGGAAGATTCTAAATACGTATCTAGAGCACTGCAGAGGAGTCGCGGATGGTATATTCCGTGGTGATGAAGAAGGAGAAGAGATTAAAGTGGACAGAAGTGAGGTTGTGTTGAGTTTGAGTGCATTAGGGTTTTGTGTGGAGAAGATGGGGAAAGAGACAAGAGAGATTGAAGAGATGGTGAAAGAAGTTGTGCAATCTGAGAATCCTTCAAGCCACGTTAACTTGCATGAGATCTCTTGCAAAATACGTTCGTTATACAAATAAAATGTAATTTCTGTTGAAAACACAAATGGCGTGTGCAACAAGGAAACTTTTGGGTTTTTCTGTTTACTTCTTTTTTTTTTTTTGCTAATAAGGTTGTGTGGTTGACCGGTTAATACCAATAACGATACCAATTGTGTGAAGGACTAATTAAAGTACATACAAAATCAACAAAATTAACGACAAGGGTTATTTTGTGTATCCATGGGTTTTGTAAGGCCTTTTTCACTGAATTATATTATTTTCAGAATAAAACCTTATTAGTCGATTTTATCAAAGGAACCTCACGATCACTCACTCCATTTGTTTGAAGATCAAATCAAGAACACACATGGTTTACGAGTTTCTCCAAAATCTATGTGATCTCACATGTTTAAGTTACATAGTAGGGCCAAGAAAGATACAAAAGAGACAGAATCTAGAACCCACCTCAAAACGGCATCGCTTCATTCCAAATAAACACTCTTATAACCGGGACGGTTAACATACAGGTCCAATTAAATCCCCCAAACCAATACTCCGAACAAATGAAAAGCACAATCCTATATTTTACTTTCGCAGCAATTCACAGCCGTCGATTCAATAGTAATCAACGACTCTCCTTCCATCTTATACATTCTCCTGGATCGCCATCCATAGCCGTACAATAAAAACACTAATCCAACGGCTACGATTAATCATCCTCCTTATAAATCTCAACATCCCTCCATCCGGACAAATCACAATCTAACTCAAATCATCTATATTCGCGAATTAGACAAAGGAACAAAAAAAAAATGTCGGGAAGAGGGAAAGGAGGAAAGGGGTTGGGAAAAGGAGGAGCGAAGAGACACAGAAAAGTTCTAAGAGACAACATCCAAGGAATCACGAAGCCTGCGATTAGGCGTCTCGCTCGTAGAGGAGGCGTGAAGAGAATCAGCGGGTTGATCTACGAAGAGACCAGAGGGGTGTTGAAGATCTTTCTCGAGAATGTGATTAGAGACGCTGTGACTTACACTGAGCACGCGAGGAGGAAGACGGTGACTGCGATGGATGTTGTTTATGCTTTGAAGAGGCAAGGACGCACTCTTTATGGATTCGGTGGTTAAAATCGGTTTAGATTTGTTTTTATTTTCGGTTTGGTTTCTGGGTTAGTGATGTTGTTGCTACTGATTAAGTCTTGCTGTCAAGAAATGTAGTAGGTTTAGGGTTTAATCCTTTGCTGGTTCGTTTCTTTGTTTGTGTAATTTCAGTAGTACTGTATTAAAGATCTTCTCTTTTGAGCTAATGGAAGTTTAATTACTCAATTTTTTGGTTTTTACCATATTGCGTTTCAATTCTTTTACAACATTCATTATCAAATATGCAGTTGAGTAGTTCAAAAAAAAAAAAAAAATCTGCAGTTGAGACTTAGGTTTGAATTTGAAATGTAGCTGATGCCCGGAATTTGAATTTAAGATCTTCTCTTTTGGGCTAATGGAAATTTGAAGTGATATGATTTTTGCATTCGATATATTGTGGTCTTCAACTTAGGTTTGTTTAAACATTAAAATCCCAAAAAATAAACTTTAGCTGGCTTCATTTTTAGATTCCATCTTCGTGACTGTCCAAATCGTCGAATCAGATCAGATACGTGTAGGTGTTCGATTGCAGAGCCTTTAATTACTTTCCGTGGAGATTTGGTAAGAAGCCAGGGATCAGGATACAAGACTCACACTTAACATCTCCCACAATGGAACGAGATGTCATTCTTTTATTTTTTTTCTTCTCAACACCAACGATCCGAACTAGATCATGGAAATAAATGATATTTTTGGTTTTGTATATTCGTGTTTTTAAAAACCTATTTGGGGTGAAATCTTATAGTCAAACAATAAAGAGGATTCCTTACAAAACATTAGCATTCTGGATTGAATTATATTTACCAAAGTTTGTTTCCTGACTAAATAATTGTTTTAGAAACTCAATTTTATTGATAAAAAAAAAAACTCAATTTTATTGTTTTTCCAGAAAATTGAGCCGCGAAGGCTAAAAAGTTTCGGATGTTACGTTCGGCGCCAATCAACATTGGACCCTATTTTAATCGTAGGCAACGTAAACCGTCAGATCAGAACCAGATCATCAACGGTGATTAAACAACTTTAAAAGACGGAAAAAAGAAAGGGCCCTACCGGATTCGAACCGGTGACCTATTGATCTGCAGTCAATTGCTCTACCACTGAGCTAAGGACCCTTGTTGTGTAAACTCAAGAAACTTAGTTTATTAACAAAGATTATAAAATATTTTAACATTATAGATGATCAAATAAGGGACCTCAAATAAGAGAAGCATGATCATTGAAGAAGCTTAAAAAGTTGTAAACGGAACATAACGCTTCGATTCCAAAACATAAAATTTATACACTGGATGTTAAAATATATATGGCTAGAGACTTATACATTGTATGAAACGAACTTTAAAGCACTCATGTACGTATCTATACATCGCTTTCGATCCCAAAACAAGATCGGATTAAAGAAACTGATGCAACGACCATAATTCCCGCGAAAACGGTCGGCACGAAAAGGTCAAAAGGTGATCGCCTCACCGTTTGAGAAGGCACGCACACCATCTCCCCCGGTAAATCGATCGGAATCCTCACCAAACCATCTCTTCCTCCCCCGCAGAGATTCGAGGAAGATGACAATGTAGACACAAACGCCATCTCCGGAGCCAAAGACGCAAAAGCCACCGTCACCATTAAGAGCACTGTCCACGTCGCAGCTTGTAAGAGGATCGGCCAAGGCGCAGAGAATTTTCTAAGAAAGGGATCCATCGCTTAGCACATCAAAATTTCGATTTGGGTTAAGGAGGAAGAAGTAAGCGGTTTGTGCGTGTGATGAAGAAAGAGTGGGAGAGAGGACGCTTGCACGTTTTAGTGAAATGCTCTTGTAAATTACGCTTTTGCCATCATGCTTAGCTAAATAATTATATGATTTAAGTTTGTGGTTAGTATTTTATTAAAAATGAAAGGAGGTCAGCTTTAATGATTTATCACCTAATTAGCCAACGACTGATAAACATCCACCGCACACTATATATAGTTTCGATTTGGAGATGGGAGAATGAACGGTTGTTAAATGTTTGACTCTTGTTAATTTTACAATGATGATGAGAGTAACTAGCCTGTTATTTTAGTTGTTTCCCAAAGTTTGTGGCTTTGACTAGTATAAAAAATGAACGTGGCACTAGTTTTAACTAGCTTAGTGAGGCACTAATCTTACAAGCGGACCAATACAAACCCCCAACTAACCTTCAGCATCTGATCTCCATTTTTGTCACACTTCATATATTTTCTTGTCATATCGTATACTATACTAATCTCGAGTAACAAATGAACTTTAAACATAAACTAATTGACAATTTTTCAATATAAGTACAGCATATTATAGCATCATAGGGTACGTTCACATAGAAAAAAAATCCACCACATCTAAATTCAATATTTGTTCAGCAAAATAATAATCCATGGAACTTAATGGCGAATACTTATTAACGAAAGGGATTAAACCACGAACGCATTATCTTCTGATTATACTTCCAAAAGAGACGATTTTAACACCATACGATATGTTCTCCAACAATTACAATACCAAATCATAAAACTAGAAACGCATCCTCCATTAAAGAACCCACAAAACCAACCCCCAGATCTAGAAACCCTAAAACCCCAACCACACATTTCAAGAGCTAGTAAACTTAGTCACAGCCTTAGTCCCTTCAGAAACAGCGTGCTTCGCCAACTCACCAGGCAACACAAGCCTCACAGCAGTCTGGATCTCCCTCGAAGTAATCGTCGGCTTCTTGTTATACCTCGCGAGCTTCGACGCCTCCTGAGCGAGCTTCTCGAAGATGTCGTTGATGAAGCTGTTCATGATCCCCATGGCCTTGCTCGAGATCCCGATGTCTGGGTGAACCTGCTTCAGCACCTTGAAGATGTAGATCTTGTACGTCTCGATGTTCTTCTTGCTCCGTTTCTTCTTCTTGTCCGTCGACGCGCCGATCGCTTCTTTCGGGAGTTTCTTCCCGGCTTTGGGTTTCTTCTCCGCTGGGGCTTTCTCCGCTACCTCCTCCGCTGGCTTCTCCGCGGGTTTCTTCTCTGCGGGTTTCTTTCCTGCCTTTGGTGCCATTTTGTTTTTTTGGTTTTGGAGAGGGGAATTGGGATTTTTAGGTTTTGGGATGGAGAGATCTGAAGGGTGTGGAGAGGTTAAGAAGGAAGAGGTTACGGATTCTATTGGATGAGAGGAAGGTGTGAGGATCGCTGACGCGGGATGGTTTTGTGCGTTCGATTGAAGGAGATAAATTATTTTAATTGACGGCTGGATGGAGATGTAGAGATAAGTGTTTTTCTTCTTGGACTGCTGACGTGGACCAGCTTTTTTAATTTTTTTTGTAATTCATAGCAGGTAGTACTAAAACTTCGGCGGTTATTCGATTGTTGGCAAAACATTAATAGCAATGTTTTTAAACCGAACGTTTTCGAGTGAACCGTGGGTTATCAATTTATCCATTCGTAACTAGTGATTTTCTTGTTCTGATGTTCCATAATTCACTTACTTTTGGGCTCATGGTGACCAAAAGAATGAGTGAGAATAGTCAGTTCCTTATTATTTCATTACAATTTACACTATTTACAAGGAATATTTGTTATCTATGATTCTTTAATATTCCTTAAGATTTAAGGAATAAAAGACACAATTATTCATTGTCAAATTAGAAGGGGAATAGATTTTTCTTTTATTTTTTTCCTTTTCATTCATTTCTTTCTTATTTCTCATATTACTTTGATGGTTACCAGTTAAAGCCTTGGTCAAACCTGTTTCAGAATTCTAAACATTAATTTTACTTGCCCAAAACTTTTACAACTATCTTCATATCCTAGGAAATTTGATTTTGAATCCAATTGTTGAAGAAAATACTATCTATAATTTGAATATAAATTCGATCCAAAAAATTTCAAACTAAAATCTGAACTGAAATAGCAAAATGTCCTACTGAATTCTGTATTAAAGAAGTTTGGATACCTAAATCTGATCGCATATAATCCAAAATCCAACTACTCTACTAACGAAATATCCAAAAATATGGAATATTATATTTGAATCTGGATGGAAATCTGAACACTCATACATGAATATTTGATTTTTATTTTAACTCGGCTCCAAAATCTCAGTTTCTTCAGTGTAATTAGTCCACCAAAATAAGAAAGAAAATTCACAACAACTTAACATTACCAAACTAATCACAATTAAATCATGTTGGAAAAGTAATGGTCAACACCATAGAAAACTGAACAAGACTAATGGACCTCTTATGGCATTTCACTCATGTGTGGGTTTTACTATATGTGACAAGCATTACGTTGTTTTTCAGAGGGTCGAGATTACTTTTTATAACATCTCCAATGGTTTAGTACTCTATTTTCCTTTAAGAATAGAAAACTATAAAATAAAATTAAGTTATATTCCATTAGTACTCTATTTTAAATAGAATAATATAATAAAACCACTTTCAACTCTATTATAGAGTGGAAATAAAGTACTATTGGAGCAAATTTATTCTATATTTAGAGTGAAAGTAGTATCATTAGAGATGTTTCTTATCGACTATGCAGTCACTACATGGTATTTTTCTGCGATTTAGTCTTATCCGCAGAATATCGCAAGTTATTTTATGATAGGTCATCCATTTTTCCCTACTCCAACGGATATACACTTACTCTAAAGTTTTTTTTCTGATGTGTAATTGAAGAAGTAAGTGCATTTGATAACATAGATATCTAAATTAAACGTTAAGGCTTTCACTATGTACCATGAACTAGATGTTACAATTTAACTCTTCTTGCATAATGTAATGTGTTTGTTGCGTCCAAAATCGTTACATATGTTAGTGTTCCACACATGATTCCATATTCGCATCAGTTTAGCTATGGTATCACTTGTAACAGCCTGATCGTCCATGGCTAATAAGTTTTCCACCATCGTGCACTATGCATGTGGGTCCATTATGTGTGACAGGTATTGGAAAGTCTTATTTATTTACTGTGTAATCATCACATGATTTGTTTCTTAACTTCAAGTACATAATAGCATCATTTTCCGATAGGTCACCAGTCATTACACTATTCCAGGTCGAACACATTTGAATATAGAATTCCTTATAGATGTGTGACAAAAAAATGTAATTTAAGAACATATGTACCAATTCTATTAATTTTTGTACTATATGTCATAAAACCGGGTGTTACATAATGGTCTACGCCAGAGAAGTAACCAACTAACCCGATGAACTGGAAAGAATATACTCTCTCTAAAAACTAGATAGAGTATAAACATCATTATTATCATCTTCGCAACGAAACAAATCCAAATCATTAAAAATATGATTCCTTGCTTCCAACCGTTAATTTAGTTGCATAGGACCCATTAATGTTTCATAGTGACAATGGTGAAAATGATAGTTCTGAAAATTTGTTGAAGACTATTCAGTTTAAAAATATATATTGGAGTACAAGTTGATCAAGAAATTATAGGTAGTATCGATTAATTCTAAAACTTTTCGTGACAAACTTGATAAGTCATTTTCTACTTTGGGCTTCTCTTATGAATTTTAATTGTTGCTGTACTTCGTCGATTCTGTTTGATGTAAAAAAAAATTGACGTCATATTTGTGTATATATACATGAGATACCTATATGAAAAAAAACTCTTTATACTAGGACATAAATAGCCATGGTTATGTAAATATACATCTGAATTCTAAAGTATATTAGGTAAATGTAAAATAACATAAAAATGATTTAGCAGAATAATAAAAAGTTAAGAAGTCCAACATATACTCAGATATGAACCAAAGAAGCAAATAAGATTCATCGACCAAATAGGTAAAAAAGATAGCGTTGGATGAATCCTTTTTGGCTGTAACTGTATATTTTGAAATGAACAAAGAGGAATGAAATCGCATGAATGTAATGTGGTACGTAGAAAAATGAAATAGATTTTTTCCATTTATTTTTTAATAATTTTTTTTGTAAAATATTTTGCTTTGTATTTTGTTAACTTTTTTATGAAATTCATAGAAAGAACATTTCATTGTATTCATGTTAAATGGTAAAAAAAATGGAATTGATCGTTCTACATCATTATATTTCAAAATATGTAATCCAGTTATAGATTTTATTTATATATTTTGTTGAATACTAATACATCCAATTCTTTTTATTAATATAGAGATATGTTGGACATATAAGAAAATCTATACTGAATTTTAAAGAAAGATACAATCCACATAAAAATATTTTGTCCGAGTATGCAATAGATCATAAACAAAGATCTATGTCCGTATAAGTGTCTATTAATAATGTAACTTAGTTACACGCAGCAAATAGATCAAAATTAAAACATATTAGTGTCTCAAATTCATCTCACTACCACTTGAGTATCTTTTAGCTTGTACGTTTTAAGATTGTACATATATTGACGCTGCATCACACGACTATATATGATCAATATGTAATATAAATTCTATAAATAAACAAGTCTACAAAGTATGGTTCATGTGGTGTTAAAGAGAGCTGGTACGAAATATTATATAATTGAATAAAATAATAAAATTGTGAGAATCCTATATAAATTAATAATATCATTACTAAATAAAGTGATAGCAATTATGCTGTTTCTATTTTATAAAACTGATGTTTTAGAAAAAACGTTTTTGAATTATATTATGTTTTAAATTTTAGCAAAACTTAAATAATTTGAATTCTTTTAATTATATACTTAGTCAATGTAAATGTGATATCATTAACTAAATTTTTTTTATGATAAACTTATTGGTCAAAAATTGTTTTGGTGTTATTTTAATATTTTCGTAAATTTATATGTTGTAAATTCATCAAATTAATATTTTAAAATTTATAGAAAGTACTACACTCTACAAAATTTCAATAGGTCCAATCATTGCAACAAAGTGGCATCGATGCATTTCATCACATGAATATTTATCCTTATATCCTTATAACTGAAATGTGCAACCTCTATATAAATTGTGCATTGGTTAGATAACAAGAATATACATCTAACAAGAATCAATCTTCTACATGATTATGACCACTAAACTACAAAACACTTGCTTATTTTATTTTTTATCATATCTTTCGTTTGACATAAATTTCATCACATCGACTCATTTTAGTTGATATTTATTTTATCTGGATACTTTGATTCTTCATGACAATGACATAAATTTTGAAATACAAATCAGTCAATTTCTTAAAACCAAAAAGTCATAGCTACAACGATAACAATTATTGAAATTTACATGACTTTTCTTTTTGTTACCAAAGCTTTTAGCAGATTTTTGGTAAGTGACACACGATAAATACCAAGTGTTAAAACAGAACTAAATGTCCCCTGTATTGACAAACAACAAAACTGAGATGTTCTATTTATAGACAAATAACGAAACGAAGATGCACTTCGCCACGTCTACAGTTCTAATATAGACAAATCTTTTTGGAATTAGAGACTTGGATTTGAGTTTTTTTTCTCAAAATAGATATTTGTCAGTGGAAGCACTACTACTAACAAAACAATAGAACAAATTCTATTAACTAACGATCTAAACCTAGCGTGATTTCTTAGAAAAACACCTAACGTGTTTTCATTTACACGTATTTGATGAGACCACAATATAATTCAACAAAAATATTTAGCAAACCTATATATTTAGTTCTTAAACTAGAATAACTCGAAAATATACATAACAGTACCATAAAGTTCATACAAAAATTACTGGATTCCTAAAATAAAATAAAATAAAATAAAATAACGTCTCTCTACACAAGTATACCCACAAAAGAAGAAGAAAATAAAAGATTAGAAAATCACAACCTCCCAAGCTCCAACGTCAAATTATCATTCTCTACCGGCGTCAAGTTCAAATCCATACACAATACCCTCTTTCCATTACCGCCGCCGGATTTCTTCATAGTCACCGGCGCTGGCGCCAAACTCCGGCTACCTCCTCCTCCTCTATGCTTCCGCATGTGACCACCCAAGGCCTGCCCTACGGAGAACTCGGCACCACATATGGGACACTCGTGTTTCACCGGTTTGGCTCTCTTGGGAGAAGGAGGTGCATGGCCTTCAAGCGCCGCCGATCGGCGGTGGCTTGCTCGGTGGCCTCCCAAGGCTTGGAACGACGGGAACTCCTTGTTGCATGTCTTGCACGCGAAAACGCGGCTTTTGGTGTCGTGTTGGTGAGCCTTTGATAGATAAACCAAGCAGCTTGCCATCTTGTTGATCATTTCCATCTCTCTTTCCTTTTCCATTTGATTTCTCAAAAACAACCTTTTGTGTATGTGTGTGTTTTGGTTGAGAAATGAAAAACTGAAACGAAGATTTTGTTGAATAATAGATTTACGATCGTGTTTATATAATAAGCGAAAACTAAGCTCAGCTTTTTGCATTGACCTTTTGTATATCGGTTCGTTGAAATTCTAGTTTTACCCTTTACTCTTCCTGAACAAACACCTTCTCGTTGACTCTTACGTTCAATAATAGTTTTGTGTTAGTCTATATTAGGGGCGGGTATTATATCCCTGAAATTTAATTTGATTTGCTGCATGTTTCTATTTGATCTAAAAATCTACAATTAGGTTACTCTACTACCAAAAAAAATAAAAATATCCAACACCCTTAAAATGAAGTAAATTACATATATTAAAATTTCCTAAAAATATAAATCTCGATACTGAGCCGATATATACCTATTTATATGCATATATAAAGAATTGTATAGTTTTCTATTTTTCAAGTTTTAGAATATTTTTCATTAAATTATTTAATTATTATATATTTAAAACAAAACAAAATTTAAATTTTCTGATGAATATTAATTTCACACTCATTTTTTATTTATTAAAATTAGATATAATTTTGTTTTTTTTTTTAATGTGGAACATATATTATACCTGCTTAAAAGACAAATTTTACCAGCTATTCTTGTACCGAATATTCAGATAGTGAGAGCAAATACAAATTATAAACTTGACGATTTGGATAAATTAAAAAGAATTACAATAACTTCAAAAACACATACAATAAAACTTTATAATAGTTAAAAGTATCCAGGTTATGATAATTTGTTGATTTCTAAGAATAATTTATCACAACTATTTTTTATATCTATCTATATAAAATTATTTTATGTAACATAAAATAATAATTTCTTTAATTGGATAGATACTGATTAAATTTTAGAATTTGTTTTTAAATTCTCTCCAGTAGGTTATATAGTGTATAGGATAGATGTATTATGCTTTTAGATGATAAAATAATATCAAAGTATTTTGAAATTACAGATGAATTTATTGAATATACAAAATAAACAATATTATGTTATATATATATATATATATATATATATATTAGTTATTCATTTGTGATATTAGTAGGACAATATGTTTACATTAAAAAAGTTCTAGAATTAATTAATATTATCTTATTGAATTATGTGGTATTTTAAACCAGTTTGATTCGAAATCGGTAAAATTAATTGATTATCGAGTATTAGTTTATCAACTGTATATTCACTATAAGTCTACCCTACTCTGTATACAAAATAGCAAAAGACAATAATAACTGAGTATATTAATGTATAAAAAGGCCTACTAGTACATGTATGTGTCATCAAGTTCACCGGCTTAGATATGTAAACAGAATCAATAAGGCCTTGGGTTAGTGGAATTACTTAGGATAAAGTTACATGACATTGATTTATATCATACATTAGATGCTGATTTTGTTTTGTTCTTTAGCGAAAAGCCAAAACGAGTAAAAAACCCAATCGGTCATGCAAAGAACCTAGTTACTACATAGCTGAATTTGAATCACTAACCATTTTAATATTAACATATAGAAAATTAAGATTGTTAGGAATGTCAATGTCACATATAAAATTAGAAAATACTTAAAGTAATATAAAAATATTATTTGCCAACTGTTTAATAGTTGGAAGTTTATATTAAAAAATCCAAGTGCTAGGTCTGAAGTTCACTGCTAAAACTTATGATTCAGGAAATAATATATTATAGTAAAATACAGTTAAATATGCCTACAAAAGTTTATCACATCTTATAAATCACATATCTACTTCTGATTTTGATGCCAACAAATGCGTTAAGTAATATCACTGCTCGTTATCATCCATGACCTACTTATAGCATAAAATTAAAAGACTTGCTTTCGTCAATAAGTATAGCATAGATCTAAACGAATGTATGATGCATAACCAACGATAGATTGGTCACTAGATACAATTTTAGGATTACATAGTAACTTACTTAGACGTCATAAGTTTAACATTCTTCAGAAACATCTGCTTTCTACAAGACAAATAATTTATATATAACACTAAACCTTATTTAAGAGGAATCTATCAGTGTACATGTCCACAACTTTCTAGTTAGTCTAAAATATATATGCATATTTTATTATTATTAAAAGGATAAAATAAAGATAAAACGTAAAATAGGAAAATGGGTATTTTGGTAAATTAAGAGGAAGTACGGCAAGACTTTTGGTACGGCAAGTTGTGTTGAGTCATGGAAACGTCATAGCATTACTAAATCTAAAATAGTCGTGAGTCAGACGCTCTAGAGTGTTTTACTATTAATCATGCTTTCACTTTACTCGCACCTATAACGCGCGTGCTTCGCAAACTCCCACTTTTTTCCTCTTCGTGTAAGATTGTTCTTCTCTGTATTCAGCATCACGCATGATCATGAATAATTACGTAACGTGTTATTTTGGATGTTTTAGATGTGGAATTTAATTCCTAATGACTGCAACCAAATTTTCATGAGTTCACACGTTAAGTTTTTACTTCTATAAATCGAAACTGATAAATACTTTTGCACCAAAACAAGAACTGATAAATATACTACAATAAAAATATTTTATATAGAATAAAATTTTAAATAGCTTGTGAAATTTTAGCAAAAAAAACTTTATCTCAACATATAATTATCAATAATGTTATAATATATAATTTATGAAACATCATTGATTTTTTTTTGTATTCTTAGATTTTATAAAAGATACTAAGTTCTACTTCAGTTTATAATTATTCAATTCATAAAATATCTAATTCATATATTTTAATATATTTATAAATATTTGATCCTTTTATCACAATAAAATTCTATAATAAATCTTAAAATATATTTTAATTTAATTTATAAATAAAATATACTATTATTTGTTAAGTATTTTTTTGTCTTAAACTCTCACTCGACTTATTATAATTGTTCAAAAAGATAAAATTAAAAGTTTCAAATATTTATTTATTACTAATGAATGTAGTATGTATAGAAATTTCAAAATATTTATAACACAATAACGAACATGTATAATTAATGTGGTTAAATATATTTTCATAAAAGTGAATATTCTAAAATCAAATTAATATTAAAATTAATCAAAATTTTATTTTATAAGATAAATATCTTAAAATTTAATATCAAAACAGATCAACATATATTTAATTACAAAAAGATATTCGGATTAGTAAAATAATATATTTGATTATATGATAGATCAAGGTGTTGTTGATATTTTACCATTGAAACTTTTAAAGAGTTATTAAATTGAACATAAAATATATTTGGATCAATATGAGACAACTAATACAGCACAATAACAATTGAAAATATGAAAACATTAAAAATAATCTTTACCAACGCGAGATAAATGAAAATTAATTTAATTGTTACAAGGATGAAACATTCAGAAAATTAATCTTATATAAAACAAATAAAATATATAGGTTATATTAATTTGAATATTACTCAAATATCATTTCTATAATTTAGAAATTTACTTAAATTATTAAAACAAAAATAAATATATGAATATATGTTAAGTTCTAATTTATAAAATGAATGCTTTATTAAAAGACATATTTTGAACCAATAGCATGAATTCTTTTCCATTTTTTACTTTTCTCTTATTTTTAAAAATTGAGAACATTTATTTACAACAATTTAACTATTAAATAAATAGTTAAAAATGTAAAACCTGAAACACTGAGTGCTTTTTTCCTTTTTTACTAAGTTCGTATTATTACAACCGATATTTACCTGGAATATCTTTGGCTTAGCGGTCAATGCCATATATTCTCAAAATATATGGCACATAATATTCAGTTAAACGCGATTCTAATTTTTTGAGTATTTAAATCTTACTCTAATTAAGTGTATCATTGAATAACCTTAATTAGTACTATACTAAGGTTTTTCAAGCTCGAAAATTCTACATACAGTATTTTTTCTACACCTTTTTCGAATCCAATGAACCTTCTCCTCTGTAATTCCTTAACACATGTGTCATTTTATTATTAGAAGTCTCTACAGAATTAGAAAATGACTAATTCTTAACACTGAAGTTTTTTTCCATGTCTTGATCTTATTTTTGTCCCACATAGGTAGGAAATGATTTTTCTTGTTTTCTACAGTTCAATTCGAAAACAATGTCTTAATTTTAATTTTCAGCTTTTCATATCAGTTATTTCTTTGCCCATGCTCTCCATTTCTTTGGTTCCAACTCCCTAATTCAGTTTTAGTTCCAATTCGCTTCTATCTCCAATCCTTCAGTTTAACACAAAACTTTTTTTTCTTTTGCATGAACAACATGTGTGTTTGACATCTAATTATCTAAATCCTGATAATCTAATTTCCATATAAAGGGCGTGACATCGTTTTTTACTCAAAAACTTTCTTGCTAAAACAGTAACTGCGAAGACTATCTTTCAATAAATCCGTACAAGACAAAGTGGGAAAGTGTAGGCCTAGCAAAGTGCATTAGGAGCGCGTGAACTGAAGTGTTCATATATGTTTGGAAAAGGGTTGGAAATAATAGAAGATTAATACATACATATTAAGATTACTTAGTTGCACAAAAAACGATTATTTTATAAAGTCCATGATCCACGCCGCCCTTCACAGTAGAAGTTGACCATTAAATATTTGTAAATCACAAGATGTTTTAGTAATACAAGTTGCAAGATTCTAGACTAAAAATTTAAGGACTAGTCTACCATGTACCAAATTAATAAAATCGTGATTCTTCACGCTTAGACCTACGTGGATAATTTTGTCCCACGTAATTAGATTTTAAGATTATGTTTAAATGAACTAATTATCTTGACTCCGAATTCGTTGAAAGTCCAAGAATTATAGTGCCGTGGGTCTCATTCTTGATGTCTCATTATTATTTTCGGGTTAGTATGCTGTTACAATCAGATTCTCAAGTCTTTATGGCTCTAAAGAAAGCTATACATACAACCAAATCGAATCCAAATTACATTTCAATTTTGCTTAGGACAACTCCCATAGAAAAGGAAAAAGCGAAATTAATAACATGATGTTTTTAGTCGTGAGGTCATAAATAATATAGTAAACATTGTAACGATTGTTAAAACCAGTTTAAAGATTTATATCTTTATATACTATTTTGGTAAAATAATTAAAATAACTAAAATCATCAAAAACACAAAAGTGACTTTTTGGACTCTTATCAGACATTTGTCTAATGCTTACTTATGTCGGTGTAGGAAAATTGACAATAATTCTCATATGTATTGGGTAAAGCTATTACCTGGTAATAGCTTAATCTATTACTTCGACGTGTGTTCTTAACACATAAAATAGTAATGATTAATATTTGTGGTACTTAGGGGGAATTAACCAAAATGGCCACACAAACCATAAAAAACTCTTTCCTTACTGCTTAAATATATAAGGATGGCACTCGCCTACTTAAATCAAACCAAACTAACTTGTGACTTGTCGCAAGTCCGACTTGTTTCTACTCTCATTTAATGTCTTTATAAGAAGTGTTCATCACCTTTTGATGTTTGTTATCAGTACCAGTGGTGCAAGTATACCCACAATTATATTAAAATCCAAAATTTTGCATGCAAAAACAGTTAAGTTCGGGTATCTACTATGGTAAAAGGGCGCATATACACCCCCACTTTCTTAGGTTCAATACCTACTAAAGTGTTTTTTTTTTTAAACTTTTATTTGCAACAGTGCACCCACTACCAAATACTTAAAGGTCTAGATTCGCCCAGTACTCACCGTCTTAATACTCTTACAGACATGACTTATACACATTATACATATTTCAGATGTTATCACATACTCCCTCTGTTCCTAAAAGATCCATATTCTAGTTTTTTCACATTTTTAATAAAATATAATAAATTTGCATAGTTTTTTGTATTTATCTTATTTCCATAATTTTAAACCAATCAAAATCAGTTAGTGTAATTAAGTTTTTTGAAGTTTACAATTATTTAATAAAATATACATTGAAAATGTAAAAAATAGATCTTTTAGAAATAATTTTTTTTTTCTAAAATATGTATCTTTAAGAAACGGAGGGAGTATTCGTTAGGCTTAAGAATGTATAACTCTTTTCTTGAAAAGATATCTCGTTACAAAAGCAAAAAGGCGCCTATTGTTCAAAGCCAAGTAAAATTTGGTTTACAACCTACAGAAGATTTTCAATTGTTTTTGTTTTTCGCTTCGGCTCCAATGGGCCAACCGGGTAGGCCATCAACACAATTCATTACGGAATTTAACTCTCGTTTTAAAAGCAAGAAGGTAAATTGTGCCAAGCTCAATAAGGCAATAGGTATGTAACAATATATATATATTTAGTAACTATTTGGGTTGAATTTAGGATAAATCCATTAAGGGTGGGTATAAGCCGAGTACTCGGTATTTTTGGTATATTTAATACTCGGTTTGGCTTTTATAAATAGTAAATATTTTGACTTGCACTTGGTTTGCAAAAAACAAATACTTGCAGTTTCAAGTACTTGCAAAAAATTGACGGACTTGTAAGTTACTTGACCTATTTTATTACTTGTTACTTGTAAATTACTTATAAATCCATTCATGATTATTGGTAAATTATTTGATAGTTCATTAGAATTTAAAGTTTAAGAAATTTAGTATATAAATAACATGTCATTGTTTTCTTAGTAAACTAATTTATTTTTTATATCAAATTTGCATCGTTTATTATAAATAATGTTACTTTATATCATTTTTCTAACTGATATAAACACAAGTTAATACATGTATCAGTTATTTACGTGATGTAAACGTATATTTTGTATCAGTTGTTTGAAATGATGTAAACTAGTATATATTTGTATCAATTGCAATGAAAATGATGTTAGATAAATTTTAAGAACATCGTTTACTATAAATGATACTGAAACAAATATTTTGCATCACTTTTTAATAAATAATTCAAACTAATATCACTTATCTTTGTGATACAATTTAAGTGATGTAATACAATCTTTTTTTTGTTTGTAGTGGGTAAAGAAGTGGTTATAGCATTGGCAATGTCTCATCTTCGAATTAATAATGTAAAATTAATTTTCAGTGTAAATTATAATATAGAACCGTTCAAAAATTATAACTATAAAATCAATATAATGTTGTCCTCCCTCTGATTATTAATAAATGACGTTTTAGAAAAAAAATATTGTTTCAAATTATACAATGTAAAATTTATTGAACTATATGGCTTTTGTATATTTTGTAGATTGTTTACTATTGGTTGAATTATAGTTAGTTAAAGAATTAATAATGTTTTTTTTAAATTTGTGTATACCCCAAATAAAAAGAAAAGGAGGTAGTAATTTAAGATAAACTTATTTGTTAGTTATTTTTTCTTAATGAAGTTAAAGAATTTAATTATTCACTGACTTGATAACTTCACTATGCGTTATAAGCTGCACGAATTATATTATAATGATACACTTTCAAGGTTCCTAAGCCTATCCACCTCAGCAAGTTTGCGGGCTCCGCGCATGTTATTAGGGAAAAAAAACGTATAACATTTTGTAAGATTGAATGTTATTGATGAGTGATGAAATGACCCAGTGGTGTAAATTGGTGAAGAGAAGTTGGTACCGCGAGTGCGCGGATTCGAAACGCAGTGTTCGCATGTAATTTTTCTTTTTTTAATTTAGGCTTTTCGGGATACCTAAAAGCTTAGGGAGATTCAGAATGATTTTTTATGCTGGTTGTTGGGATACAAAATGGCTTAAAGATTTGAAACTTTATGAGACCATCTTAGATACTTTTATAAGAAAGATTATCATGTTCTAACCTCCAATATCATTTCAATTCAGTTATAATCGTCAAATAAATAAAAATATATTTTTAAATAATAAATATTTACCCCGAACCATTCAGATCGGCATAAATCTTATATATATCACAATTTAAAAAAAAAATATATATATATACAACATAATTTCAGAAAGAAAATTACACTAATAAACATATGTTCTTTTTTGTCTTGTCTCCATTAAATTATTTTTTATATGAAAGCACTAATAACACTAATGCTCGATAAAATCACTAATAAAGGGAATGCTTGATAAAATCACTACGAAGATAAAATATGAAAATATCAACCCATATGAATTCGATGTTTATTCTTTTATCAGACTAATCAAGTTGTGTGATTTCTAATGTTTCATTCATCACCATTATAGATAAGCCAGATAAACAAATGTTTAAAAAAAACCAGCAAAGTCTCATACACAAAAATACACAACACATCAACAACGTATCCAACCCCGCGCTTGTGCGGGGACTATGCATCTAGTATTTAAAAGATTTGAGTTAGGTTTTGTTAAAGTCTAAAAAAAATCGTATCTTAAAAATTTGTATTAGTTTTTTTATATGAACTGGAACTGTTGTATCAAACAAATTTGTATAGCGATAAGAAGAACAAAAAGTTTCTAAATACTCATAAATTAAATTATATCTCTGTATATAAGTAGAATATATTATTTATTACTGTCTCTGTTTCTAAATAAGTGTCATTTTAATATTTTTTTGTTACAGAAAAAATGTCATTTTAGAGTTCCAATGCAATTTTGAGTTAAATATTAATTACAAATGCATTGATTCTATAAATAATTTTAGTTTCTAAAATGTGTGTGAAAAATATCTAAGTGACACTTTTTATGAAACGGATGGAATAATAAACATTA